CGATCGTTGGATTACTGCAATGAAATAATGAGAACCGATCATTATATGTCAATAAAGAGATTGTCAACTGTTGTTTAATAGGGTATTTGAAAAGTTTTAGAAAACGATCTCACGGTATTAACTAATGTTTATAGAGTTTATGGACTCTATAAACATTAGTGGATATTCATCATTATGTTGTGTATTTCGGTAAAAAAACTAAATCATAAACTCTATTTTCAAGTTGCCGCGAAAACGTATCTCTGGACAATATGGTGTCTCACTGGTGTGTGACGTCACACGACTGTCATTAAACCGTCAAACCATACAATCTAATGTCACTTTAACGGGAAGTTTACTTGCGTGTGACGTCATTTTAGGCTCTACCAATCCCAAGCGTTTTGGATCACGTGACAATAGACAAGAAAACTATTATCTTTATCGTGGGTTTGTAGTCAAATTATGAATATTTTTTCTAAAGAAATAGTAAAAACTCCTGCCAATATACATTCTAAATACAGATGCTAACAATTGGCACTATATTTTTAATACGGTCAAATACCCTATTGATAAAATTTGTAATACCCTATATACTGCGCTTAAAAATTACGCAAAATTTGTGTTTGTTTTTAATAAATACGAAAACAGTCAATTTGCAAAATAAAACGATTACAATATTACGTCTGAACAAGGAAAAAAGCAAATCGAGTTTGCAACTCTTGTAACGTCGTTACCCTATCTTGTTTACCTTGTAATGCTTTTTGACCTAAATACAACGCCATCAAACGCATTTTTACATTTAAATACATACATTATGCAGTGGATTATCTTGGGAGGTCCTCCCTTTACTTCACGTGACCAAAGGCTGTTAATTACATTTTAAATGTTAATTGATTCCTTAACATAATATTAATTCTACGTAAGGCTTTACGTACGGGTTCATATGTAAAACGCAGGATTTCTTTTATCGCGCGTTTACTGACCGTCCATTATCTTCTATATACATATATAAAACTCAAAGGTGACTGACTGACTGACATAGTAATCTATCAACGCACAGCCCAAACCACTGGACGGATCGGGCTGAAATTTGGCATGCAGGTAGATGTTATGACGTAGGCATCCGCTAAGAAAGGATTTTGATCAATTCTACCCCCAAGGGGATAAAATTGGGAATGAAAGTTTGTATGAAACTTTGTCAATTTTAAACCGATCGGGCTGAGACTTTGCATTTTGTCATATAATACAAGCCTGAGAATAAAAACTGTAGTCTACACTTCAGCTCTACACCGAAGCGAAGCGAGGGCGGGAAGCTAGTACATTATAAACGCGAAAGAACACACCCTAACATGTAATAAATAAATATTTCTAATTTAATAACACACACACACCAATTAGCCTAGCCTCAAAATAAGCACTGTAGGCTTATGCTATGGGATACTAGGGTAACGGATTGAATACATATATTGATACATATATAAATAAATTTATACAGAATATTAAACATCCATGACTGGAGAGCAAAAGCTCGTAGTTATCATACAAACATCTGTCTTCACCGGGATTCGAACCCTCGAGTAAACGACACCTTGAAACCCGGCGTACATACCCCTCAGCCACGGAGGTCGTCAAGGTCGTAATAAGGTAAATACAATATTTTACAGATTGCCGTTCAGTTTGGAATGTTTTATCCACCTTGAAAGATGTTTCTCCTAGGAATAGGACAAACATCTTTCAATAATTTAGGATATAATTTTTATGCAAGTCCCCTCTGTCGCATTGGGCATACAGATTGGGCATACAAACGATTTGGCGGTGTATTGCGAATTTGTGTGCATATCCCCCCTACCCCCCCCCCCCCTATCGCCAAAAATGGCAGAACAATTTGAATAGTTTTCGCTTTGGCTACTCCCTTCGCTGTTGCTCTAAGGCTGATGATGATGTTGATAAATGTAAAGGTTATTACATTATTATTAGTAAGTTAGATATCTCAATTTTGTTGTTTTCGTACAAGGATGATTATTATAATATATCATTCTGAGGCTCCACACCGGTTTGAAGATGTTGCCATTTCCGTGATTTCATAATTTGATTTAGGCTGGGTCAATATAGAGAAAAAACACTGTCAAGTGAGGGTTAATCTTGCACACGACAGCTGACATGGCTAATTCATTTTAGCTATTTGTAAACTTGACAACAGTCTCTCCTTTTCAGGCCCTATAGAGTATGATTAGTACACCAGCTCTCAAAATGCCAGCATTAGTCGTCGTCGTAAGCGTTGACATAACCTAAAAAATTAAATTATCTCCAGCTGAGTTTCCGGACCAAGACGAACTGAAAACTTATAGATAAACTCCACTCACACCTTATAGCCCGACAACGCATATGTTATACGACGACCTCCGTGGCCGAGTGGTTCGTACGCCGGGTCTCATGGTGTTGCCGACTCGAGAGGTCCCGGGTTCGAATCCTGGTGGGGGCAGATGTTTGTGTGATGAATACGAGCATTTTTACTCCAGTCATGGATTAATATGTATTTCTATATAAATATGCTTACGTACAGTATATGTATTCTATCCGTTACTCTGGTATCCCATAACACAAGCCTTACAGTGCTTATGTTGGGACTAATTGGTGTGAGTCTTGAAAATATTTATTTATAAATTTTTACAATGGAAGGTTTCATGAGGCATACTCCACTCTTCATAAGTGAACAGACGTTCGATGACTTTTGATCCCCAGTAATCATAACTATGGTTTAATCGACGCCCACCATTGAGCAAAGGCTACCTCCAGAGATCTCCACGATAATCGGTCTTGTCTCCTGTAGTCCTGTAAAAACGTTCCCCAGTCGTGAGAATAATACCATCCAGCTTAAGCTAAAAGAGGCTTTATACAAAATCAGTAAAAAACATGAATACTTTTTTTTATGGCAATTCTTCAATTTGTTTCTAATGTTCGCATTACCGTCTTTATATTTCATTTTCGCATGATCTAAATTGAAAACAGTTCAAAATAATGAAAATAGTCAAGCTATAACTGATTACTTACAATTTCGTGTTGAAGGAATTAAATTCTAAACAAAGATCTGATTAATGGCGGCTAAGGGACCAACTGTTCATTGTAATCTCATTGTTTGAATTTGTATTTTTGTCAAAATTCTATTTTTAGCAATATGATTTTTTTCAAAATCTTATTTGCTGTAGAGTGATGCACTTGTCGTGTAGTTACTTATTATTGCAGTTAAAATGCTAAAAATATTTTAATTAGCCATAAAAATAAGTTTTCATGTTTTTACTGATTAGCCGATTTCTCGCTAATTAAGAATTTAACGCCCGACATTTTCGACCGACATGCTTTATTTTTTAGTGCGAACAGAATGAGCTACTAAAATTCAAATGTTTTCAGTCACATAAGTTGTCCTTTGCGTGTTAGACACCCTGGCGTATTCTATAATTATTTTACTTTAACTACACTATAAGTGAGGAGCTCGATGGCGCAAGTGGTAAGCGCGTCCGGCTGCGATCGTTAAAGTTAAGCAACTTTCGCAGTGGTCGGTCATTGGATGGGTGACCAAAAATTTACTATCTCGAGTTCCTACGTGCTTCGGAAGGCACGTTAAGCCGTTGGTCCCGGCTGCATCTTTCTCAGTCGTTAGCACCCGCCAATCCGCACTGGGCGAACGTAGTGGGTAATGGCCCAATCTCCCTATTCCATCCATAGGGAAGGCCTGTGCCTTGCCTGCCCAGGAAGCAGTGGGGACATTAATAGGCTGATGATGATGACTCTACAAGTCTATACAATTTACAGTTCTTAAGGGTACTTACTGTTATTATAATGTGTGGTCTTCTGTAATATCTATGGGGAAAGAGATTACTTTCTCAGACGGTCCAGTTCAATCAGAAACATTCGATGGACTACCTCTACTGAAAACCCTAGGTAGCCACCAGGCTACTAAATATATGATCAGTTGCAGTAGATTAGATAAAGTCACTTTTCAATTATTATAGACAGTTCCCAAAAGGCAACAAATAGAGGGGACTTACCTAATACATATCGTATGCTGACGATATACGGCGAATAATTTTTTGCATTGTTATTGCGGCTGTGTGGCCTTAAAATTTACCTTATTGTTATCTGAGTCAATAAGGAAAAATGACACGGTTGCAATGAAAGTCAACTCAACACCATACATCGATGTTGTTTAATGGACAGGAGAAGGACTATTTGAGGGGACATTAACACGGAAGTTAGCAGACGAAAAACAGACATAAGGAAATGCAGAAGGATCTTGACTCATTTAATAATGATGCCGAATAGAGGTACAATAGGTGTTTAATTAAAACATGTGATAAAAGTAATTATTTTTATTTTTACGCAATGTTACTATTACTATAAACGGTAATTAATGTTTTAAATGCAAGAAGAATAATGTTCAACGCAAGAAAAATTACGAAGCAATGCGGTGCATCGGTGTGTTTGCAATTTGCATTAATAATGAAATGTTAACAAAAATATCAAAAAATAACAAAAGGAAGTAAAATCCAACACACTTATTTTCAAGATTTCTGAATAAAAAATCTCACAAAAAACTGTCGTAATTATGCTTTATCTTCTATTTTTCATCTTTGAAAAGACTTTGTAGCAAACAACTAAGACTTAACTTATTAACATTTGAATATTACAACGATATACCTTCTTATATAAATCAGTGTGAAAACACAAAATTTGCATTTGAAAATAAAACGACATGGGTTATATTTTTTGGCCAATTAAAACCAAACACATTTTTTTGTCGTTGCAATAACGATCATAATAACATATGGATCCTCCACCAACTTCTTCCAAATAACGTAATTCGTTATATCAAATTTTATTAAATCGAACTTTTTACACAAATAAGTTTCGCTTTTTTTGAGTGTTATGTTCTTCATAATAATATTATTATTTACTATTCATAACAATAGCCTATGGGCAAACGGTACAAAATAAATATACCTACATAAAAGTTTTTGTTGCAGAGGAGGTCGTGTCCACGCCAAAACCTCTTAAGGTTCTGGACACAATCATGAATCCTTCATACATCCCAGCAGAAGAAAAGCATGGGTTCTATTGGAAGAAATCGGCTATAACCACACTAAAGGCCAAACTGCGAGAGTCCAAAAACACGAATAAGGCGAAGAATGGGATCATGTTTATTGGTGATGGTATGTCAGTGGCCACTATAATGGCAGCGAGGACCTTCTCTGGACAACTGGAACGAGGGCTGGGAGAAGAATCAGTTTTGGAGTTCGAGAGATTCCCGTACACGGGACTAGCAAGGGTAAGATTCATGTTATTTTGAAATTTTCCTTGATTATATCGTAATCTATATCTAGATGCCGAGTAAGAGAATGAAACTACTTATAAAATAGGTTGTATATATAAATAATCTAAATTGATGGTTCCCAAGATCCCCAAAAATGATAAAATTTTACTCGTATATCTCGCTGACTGAAGTATGGTACTTATGAAGATTACTTCATCATTAATTCATCTTTAATGTAGTGGAGTCGTCCTTCTATTATTTTTAGTTTTATACTTTCAGTAGATTTTAAGCAGATTCACATTATATAATATTTTGGGATTATTTGTCATTTCGAATGGTTCTTCATTTTCCATCTCAAGTTATACACACATAGTATGTTACATGACAATGAAGCCAATAAATAAACCAAATTACTACAATGTGTTATGTGTTTAAAAAAAATTGAATCTCAAAGCAAGTTCAGTAACATTTAGAGACATTGCATAGCATAAGCCCAAATAATTATCAAGATAACTTCGCATAATATATTTTTCATATTATACAGTTTTTTTATTAAACTAAGTACTTCAATATCCAAGGTTTCCAAACTTACCTCTCTATTGCAATGATTTGACGAATTAATTCTGTACGTGTTTGACAATCCACAACACCATATTTCTGGGGTAATCAAGTTTTTTACTAAATCGTATCTCACGAATCTATCTAATATACAAACAAAATAAACTAGGAAGGAAGTCGCCGGCCGTTATCCAATTGTACGCCATTTTTGTATAAAAACTCTCTATTCAGTTCTGTGCTATACATTATTAGTTCTCAAACGATTTCAGACCTTATTGTTTCAAGTATAAAACTTAGCTTAACCACAGATTTTGTGATATCTTTTTATTTTCATTTTGTTTTTGTTGTTTTTATAAACTAAATACCGTTTATCTCGGATCAACGATCGCTGAGAAGTCTGTTCGTCAATGCGCATTCGTCTTTGAAAGCTCTGATCGGTTCGTATTTTTACTTAACCATTAAAATTCTGAATTGCACGTGCACATAAATATTATGACCCTTCAGATCAGCTATACTCTAAGTGTGTTCCGCGGAACCCTAGGGTTCCGTGATACCTCTGTCGGGGTTCCGCAAGAATTTAGAAATAAAAAAATCAAAACACCTCTCTCTGGTCGCTCCGCGGCTGTGCGGACTCCGCGGCCGCGCGGAGACAAAACGCTATGAATGTTATTTATTTATTTATTTGTATTTGTATAAGCTTGTGTTACATTAGCTGGTACAATATCTCATAAGTTTGGTCTCAACAATTTTATACTTGTACAACGCGTTCGCTCTAAGTTTGCCGGTCTGTGGAATGCGCGTACCCTCCCCCACGTGACAACAAAACTTATAATGTGTCATAGTTTTACCCAAATATCTAACGTACACAATTTTTATTGTTACAATTAAATAAAAAATTTCGAACGTCATACACTCATACCTATCGCCAGCGGCAAACTTAAAACGAGCGGGTAGTATACTTGTAAGCGCTCAGTCTCTTTGATAAAAGCCGCCTCTGAATTAGACGCTATAGTTGTCAACTAGCGACTTTCGTCTCTAACTTCAAAGGATAAAGTCGATATTGTTTACAACGCTATTTTTAAATTTCTGTTTTTATTTTTGCTTTTTGTTTATCAAAGGTGCCGACTCGAGTATTTTCGAGAATATTTGAGATCGAGTCTAGGACTAAGTATAAAAGCGGCGATCGCGCGTTGGCGTCGTCAGTTGATGATTAGCGTTCGGAGCGATAAGTTACTACCTACTTACAAGCTCGCTAGCGAGAAACTGGTGTTCATTGTTTTACTGCCTGCTGTATTCTGTTGTCTCAGTTTTATACATTTCTTCCCTGTAGGTTCTAAATTTAGTCTCTTATACGCAGTAACGATTGTGCATTATTTAAACCCCACTATCCTGACTTGTAACATTATAAATAAAGAAGAATGGAACGTTGGCTTAAAGGTGTTAAACGTGTTCCAACAACATCTTCTAATGACGCTGAATGTTCAAAAGCAATGCGCGCGGAGAATTTAGCAATCACCGATCCAGAAGATGATGCCACGAGTGCCACGACGTCAAGCTCGACGGTTTCAAAGACGAAAAAAAGGAAGTATGATGAATCTTATATCAGTTTCGGATTTGTTGATTCCAACGGCTCACCTCTCTGCATGCTCTGTAGTAAACTGCTTCCTAATAGTTCCATGGCACCTGCCAAATTGCGTCGACATTTAGAAACCGTACACCCCGAGACTAAAGACAAGAATAAAGAATTTTTTGTTCGCAAAAAAGATCAGTTATTAGAAAGTCAAAAAAATATGATGCATGTAACACAAACTACCAACGAAAAGGCCACGGAGGCATCATACTTAGTTAGCTATCGCATTGCACAAGCAGGTGAAGCGCACACTATCGCTGAGAAATTAATAAAACCATGTGTATTAGACATAACAAAATGTATGCTTGATGAAAAATCTGCAAAGCATCTTTCTACTGTTCCGCTATCAAACGATACTGTTTCACGACGAATCCATGATCTGGCAAGCTACGTCAAACAAGAACTAGTTACACGTCTACAAAATACACGATTCGCTTTGCAAATGGACGAGTCGACTGATGTCGCTGGTTTGGCTATCCTGCTGGTTATTGTGAGATATCCATATAAAAGTTCTTTTGAAGAAGACATGCTTATGTGTTCATCGCTGCTTACAAACACTACCGGGGAAGAAATTTTTAATAAAATAAATATATTTTTTGAAGAACATAATCTCAGTTGGAACAATTGCATTGACATTTGTACAGATGGGGCCAAGGCGATGACAGGTAAAACAGCAGGAGCAGTGTCACGAATGAAAAATAAAGCGCCTAATTGTAGTTCCAGTCATTGTATTCTGCATAGACAAGCACTTGCGATGAAGCAAATGCCGTCTAATCTAAAATTAGTTATGGATGAAGCGGTAAAAATAATTAATTTTATCAAATCACGACCACTACAATCCCGATTGTTCTCATTATTGTGTGAAGATTATGGCAGCAAACATAAAACACTGCTGCTCCATACAGAAGTGCGATGGCTGTCTCGGGGAAAAACTTTAACAAGGCTATTTGAACTTAGAGCCGAGTTACAAATGTTTCTTTCAGCAGATACTTCTTTTAATTTGAAGGACCGTTTGTATGATAAAACTTGGTTGTTCCGATTGTCTTTTATGGCGGATATCTTTCAAAAACTTAACGAATTAAATTTATCATTGCAAGGTAAACAGACAACAGTGTTTCAGGCCTATAATAAAATAACTACTTTTAAAGAAAATTAGATTTTTGGATCATTTGCATTGGTAAGAAAGAAATAGAAAGTTTTACGTTACTCACTGAGTTTGTTAGCGAAAACGACTCAGAAATGTTTGAAGATAATGTGTTTGAAGAATTGGTCCAATATCTCAGTTCGATGCGCGCATCTTTTGAAAAGTATTTTCCCGAAGAACACAATACAAAAATTAAAGTGAACTCCTGGATTCATAATCCTTTTTTACCCAACTTGGAAAAGCCTGAAAACATGTCAAATGAGATATATGAATCTCTTTTAGAAATGTCATCAGACACAAGTATGGAGTCATTGTTCAAAACGACGCCTCTTAATGATTTTTGGTGCAGAATCCAAGATGAATATGCAATGCTTGGCCAAATGGCTCTGGATATTCTTCTCCCGTTCCCAACTACATATTTGTGCGAAACAGGATTCTCTACCTACGCAGCCACGAAAACAAAATATCGCAATAGACTGGACGCCGAAGCTGATATGAGACTCCAACTTTCTTCCATCAAACCTGATATCAAGCAATTGATGAAAAATAAAAAACAGTTTCATACCTCCCACTAGTTAGATTTTTTCTTTTTTAATGTTTTCTATTATTGTCCTTACCAAGTGGTGAAGTAAATAATAATTAGTAACGGATACATTGTACTTTTATTATGCTGATTAATATAGAATACACTTATAAAAATAATTGTTTTATTGTAGGGTTCCATCAAGTATTTTGCTTCCCAAAAGGGTTCCGTCATTTAAAAAGTTTGAGAACCACTGCTTCAGATGATTATTTTTGTGAAACACAAAAGTGAATCATTAATCAAAGTTTAACTTTTAAAGGATATATTGAATAAAATAAAATTATAATTTTTATTATTTTTAAAGCATGTAACTGCTTGATGTTTAAATCTAAAGAAAATATAACTAGAAAAAATTCCACGCGGACCAGGCAGCAGACGGGACTCGAACCCGCACCCTTCGCAATCCGGGCGAATGCACTGACCAATTATGCTACCGCGGCCCTCACGGACCGCGTCGAAATTCTTTCTAGCTATTCTTAAGCTGCAAGGCAGCGCCATCTCTTCGCATTATAGGTAAACCCACAATGACAAATGAATACTTTTACAAGTATTAAACATTTGAAAGAAGAAATAGCAATTATAGTTATAATTTTTATTATTTTTAAAGCATGTAACTGCTTGATGTTTAAATCTAAAGAAAATATAACTAGAAAAAATTCCACGCGGACCAGGCAGCAGACGGGACTCGAACCCGCACCCTTCGCAATCCGGGCGAATGCACTGACCAAACCAAAATAAAATTAATACAGACATTATAAACGATGGAAACAAATCCAAAAAGGACACATGATTAAGAAGGCAATGCATCTAATGAGGTTGAACAAGTGCAGAAAAGAAAAAATAAACAAGCGACATCTCGCTAGTAAATAGTAACACGCACGGCTGGTCACTATGTCTGTATGTCATGATCATGATCAAGGTAATGCGTGACTGCGGCGATTGTATTGAAATGAATAGATTGCAGCGATGTAGTTAGAAAAAAAAACAAACGCGATGTTTCAGTTTATATGTTTTTATTTTTAATCATTTCACTGGTAGATTTTTAAATCTAAATAAATTCGAATTCCGTCTGATCCTTGAACCGAGTATTTTTGCTCTTCGATGTTTCAGTTTACAAACAGTTTTGGTTGGACGAGTACATATTACATGATAGTGTAACATTAAGGTAGAACTAATAAATTCTCAAAATAGTCTTGAAATAAAATTGCATTACGAATATCTAAAATATTGTAATAATTAATGCCTAAGTAGTATTAATTATGATATTAATGTCAATTTTAAGTTCTTATATTCATATGATGATGATTAATCTAAAGATCATTGGCCTACCTTACATATAAACTGTTATCAGACGTGTCTGTGACCTTGTATTCTTTCACCTTCAAGTCTTTATAACACAGCTGGTTTAACAAAGCATTTTACAATACAAAAGGTAATATAATATAAATCAACAATAATATAATATACTTTATGACAATAAATACAAAAACCATAAGAACATTTTCCGTAATAACTACGATCTTTTATATTGTATACATGTAACTAATAGGTAATTTACTTGACGATGTCTTGTGATCTTCAGTTAGTTCAAGAGCTGAATAACGTATCGTCTTATTATCTTAACAATACCACAATGCTAGGAAGGAAAACGTGTATTATCGCAGCTCCTTAATTGTCAGTCTTCGAATATCCATTGCCAAGGTCGACACGCTGCCGTGTAGGAAATTGAGAAATGCTACTGTTGTATTGACAACACAGACTGCTATTATTCTAAATCCAATTGTATGAGAAATGACATCACACAGAAGTGAATACAATTTTCTGCTCTAAGAAGAGAAATATTAACTCAAATGTTACGCTGAGGTTGAAAGAAAAATGAAATCTGCTTTTCCGGTAATACTACACGATAATAAGCAAATTATGAAAAATGACAAATATTATCGTACGTGCACTGGGGTCACTTGTTTCCGAACATTTTTCACATCACATCTTAGATATATTCAAGGTTAAATAAGACTTCTCCATTTGGTGTACGGGGTTGTCCATTAATCACGTGAGGCTTGAAAGGGGGGGGGGGGGTTCCATAAAAAATCACGATATATCACAATATATATCACCTGTATTTCCGTGGTCCGAGGATACTGTACATTAAAATAATGTTCATGTATAAGTAAGTACAAAAAGTTTTTCGCTTGCTTTCATTATTTATGTCAGTCAAAAACAACCTGCAACCTTTTTGTCTACCTCTAAACGTTTTATTGTAGTCTTTAATTTTCCATAATAAAGTTAGATGATACTTATACCGGTATTTTATAAATATAAAAAATAAGATTCTTTGTAGGTACTAAAAAATACACGCGATATGCTATAGTCTTTAACTAAGTGATTAATAGACGGCCCCTAAATAATAAAGTAGAGATTACCTTGGACAAACATAACTATAAAGAAACAATACGATCGTAAAAGAGACAAATCATAATGAAAGATCCTTTATAGAAGTTACGTCCATTCGGAAAATAACCTCCATCTTACCGACAAATCAGCCAAAGACATTTTGTAGTGCAGTATTTCTGTGAACAGATCCATGATGACGACAAGAGACAAGAAATATCAGCATTATAACGCCCACTGCTGCAAAACCGCCGTTTGAGAACATTTTCCTAAAGTTTTCTCTTTTTGTTGGTTAGCAGCCACCATAGCATATAAAGCAATACAAGAATTTTTGGTTTCGCAAGCAGACGCCTGTGAAACCAAAAAATTTAACTCGCGCCGAAACCTACCCTAACCTAATACTCTACCCAGTGTCGTTCTGGTAGTTCTGGAACCTTACTCGAAAGTAGAAACACAACACCATCAGAAGGTAGTGTTATCTTTTATAATGTGGACGTTACTTCCACAGACGGCCGCTCCAATTCGAGTGGAAAATCCTTTATGCCCTACCCCCCTTAAAAATCTTTTCATACCCTCACCATAATGCGGCCAATCAGTATTTTATTCCAACCTTCTTTCGTAATAATGTTTCTCCTTCCAATTGCAGACGTATTGCATAGACGCGCAAGTGCCTGACTCAGCGTGTACAGCAACGTCGTACCTAACCGGCGTGAAGACGAAGTACGGGGTGGTTGGTCTGGATGGAAACGTCACCAGGGGCTCCTGCCACTCCCAACTGCACAAGGCCAACTGGGCTCCTTCTATTGGCCAGTGGGCTTTGGAACAGGGGCTTGATGTCGGTAAGTAGGTTGGGTAAATAAATCAGTAATAATCGTAAGTCAGATAGCATCGTACAGAATACCTACCAGTCGAGTGAAGCACAATGAATACCATACGGACGTGCATACGGAACGCGTTTTTGATGAGCAACATCTTTCCTCTCGCTTTCGTGCAATTTGTGGGAGCGATTGCGTGAAATGGGATGGAAGTGTGTTACATGAAGTTTGGGAAGCGCGCTTTTTGATTTGATTTTAGAACATAATGTTCAAATGGCTTATTCCTTTTGTAGTAGGTTTTATTTCTTTTCTTTTAGTAATATAAGGTGAGGTTCCAAATGTCACACATCATACACGACTACTGTACCCTTAGCACCAACCAATATCGAATCCGAAATGTCATTGACAAATGTGTACTGATTTTTAGTTCTCGTTACGTACTTTGTGGCGCTGCTATTCAAGTTTCCATACAAAATTTGACATTGGAATTTAGCACTAGCAACCTATTTGAATTCGATAATGGTTCGTGCTAAGGGTATTGTAAGGCTCGCTCGTTTTTTCAATATAGTATGCTACTGAGTAGCAAATTTTGACCGCAGCTAACTTCAGCGTCGTTGTGTAATACTGAATATAACACAAAGTTTTTATACATTCAAAACGTAACGTAGGAAGAATTCAAGCCTTACAGTCAAGTTCAGTAAATATTTAATGGGAAATATTTAAATGAGCCTCAAAAATAATAAACGATCACCTAAAAATGCAATTGGTAACCTACATGTTATGTTAGGTTAGGTCAATCAAGTTCATTAATATTTTGTTTTTAAACTATCCTATGAAAATTTTTTGGAACAATCCTATCTTCCTTCCCAGGACTGAAATTAACCCCGCATGAAAGAAAGAAAGAAATAATTTTATTTGAAACAAAAACAAACATATTATAATATAAACAATAAAATAAAACAATCAAAACGGTCCCAACTCAGCATAGTGCTAATCAGCGCTGGTCTTCCGTTGGAACCGGTTTGGTGTCGCACGAAACAATAACAAGAAAAACAACAAATAAACAAAATACAAGCAAAATAAAATACATGAATAAAAAAAAAACGTATGGGTTCCTTACGTCAATAATTTATTTTTGTAGTTTTTTAATGTGCTCATCTATATGTCTTGTCAATTACTGTTTCCATTCCTGAATTCTTAATGATCTATTGTTAAGACATTGATTCTGCTTTTTTTAATGCTCAAGTTTATATTGTGTTCGTTCAAAGAAACAATAGGTAGGTATAATGTAACAAATAGAATGTTCACTGTAACTTAGGTACATGTTTATTTACATTTGTCAGTTTTATTGCAAGTTTTTCCGCGTAAACGTGTTATCTTAACTTTAAACACAGTTATGTATATAAGTATAACGATTTAGGTAGATACGATTTTGTTTTTTTTGCCATTGTGTTGAAGTATAAAGAAACTTCAAAACCTACAAGGACACTGAAACTAGTTGTTAAGGCGAAAGATTGTTCCAAGATAAATACAAGCATGTTATTTTCTATTAAAAAAAAACGACGGGTTGCGCTCCGGGAGTTCCGGCAGAAGTGAAAACTTGAATATTAATGTTGTGCATTTTTGATATTTTGGAATGGTTAGGGAATAATTTCGCACGAATTGCTTTGATTTATCAGTATAAAAGTACAATCATGTATGTGGTAGAATACAATATTAATTTATTGCGCGATCGTACACAAACATGACAATTTATCTTACATTAAAAATGTTTATCTCTCAGAAAAATCAACTTACATGAATCACGTTTAAGCGCACTTAGCGACATCTATTGTAAAGAAATCATCTTACATGAATCACATTTAAGCGCACCTAGCGACATCTATTGTAAAAAAATGCATTTTCTTCGCAACAAAGCTGCCACGTGGACGTCCTAGATAGAGACTTATTATTATAATACGGTAAAATAAAATATTACTATGTTTCGTCCAATATATTGAAAGACCTTTCCTATTTTATTGTGTCATGATGCGATCAGCCCACGTGTTAAACCTGACGCGAGTTTAACATTTTTTACCCTTACAAAAAAAAGTGTACAACGCCGCTAAAGAAGTTTTCACTTAAAACAGACTTACATTAAATAAAAGGAAATATTTTGGCGTTAGTCTCTGCTCTGTTAAACACAGGTCGTCGTCGTCGTTGTCAATCGAAGCGATTCGAACGCGTTGGCTTGCCTTTTGTGTATTTTATGAAGACATTTCTGCGTGACTGGGTTTAAAGAATATTGTTGTACATTACAAAATAATAATAAGCCTAATGCGTATTGGACTTTGTACATTCAGACTTCCGTACCTTGGACAATGTGCCAGCCGCTTGTTAGGCAAGGGTCTTATTTAAAACATTTTACCCACATCATTTTGATGCGTACGGTAGCTTTTGACAACCGCGCGATTTGGTACCAGCAGTAACCTGGTACTGTAAAAACCTTCAATAAACTAGCGACTCTTCTCTTAAAGGCATTGGTAATTCTTCTGATGATTGGGCGGCGGTCCTACATAAATAAAATTACTGATTATTATCGAATACATTTTACGGACAATGTAACACACGATCGATTTCAGTTATATAGGTATATATCGTTCTTTTCTCCGCCAGGTTTAGTGACCACTACCAGAGTTACCCACGCATCCCCCGCCGGGATGTACGCACACAGTTCTGAGAGAAACTGGGAGTGTGACGCGGACGTCCCTAAGGAATGCCTCTCGCTGGGATGCCGGGATATCGCCTACCAACTCATCATGAACAACCCCGGGAGGCAGTTCAAGGTGAGATATTTCTAGTGTCTTATTTAACCGAAACAAGAACAAATTAACCAAAACAAGGTACATGGTAACAAGCCCGTAAATAATTTATATTACTACTAGCTGTGCCCCGCGGTGTTACCCGCAGTTTATTAAGGATAATTTCCCGCAGTAAAACGTAGCCTATGTGTTAATCCAGGGTGTCAGCTAACTCCATACCAAATTTTATTGAAAACGCTCCAGCCGTTTAGACGTGAAGAAGTAACAAACATACACACTCACATACTCACAAACTTTCGCCTTTATAATATTAGTGTGATAATGTTAGAGACCATGAAAGTTAAAAACAATATATTATTTAACCGACTTCAAAAAAGGAGGAGGTTCTGTGTTCGACTGTATTTTTTGACGTGACAACGTCTTAAATTAGGTTGCGGCTGGGAGTCACTTATGAAAAAGTGTAACGCTCGGTAACGTTACGATGAGTCTCTCGTGTTAAGTTTAAGTTTACATGTACAATGTTTTAGTAAACAAAATATATTTCTATAGTTAAAATTTGTGCAATTCTTATTTTCATTCAATTCCTTGTTCCTATTGTGCAATTTAATTATATTCATATCAATAAATATTCTACCGAGAAAAAGACGTTGTCACGTAAAATCTTCGCCCGTAAAACCGACTTTACAGGCAACCATTTTTTTTATGTATGTTCACCGATTTCAACAGTCAGTGATTTTATAACTTTTTACAAGTGACAAAGCGTATTTTGAGACTTCGTCTGTCGTCCTTGTAGCAAATATCGATCACGCTATCGTCCGTCACCAGTTTTGTATAAAATAATTGCAATTAAGACGCATTACATTCACGCCGTTCTAATTAGGGATTATGTCTCATTTTTCTTTTCTTAATCTATTAAGTAGACTATCGAAAAGTATTGAAAACGTATTTTTTTCTGATTTCACTTAATCAAAACATTTTAAAAGACATAGTGATTTTAAAGTCGCATCACGTCTTGGTCTTTTACTTAGAAGTGACGTCACGAGCCTCCACTTTGATGTGTGTGTGTGTGCGTGTGATGTGTACGCAGCTCTTCCCGACGAGCATGAAAGTTTCTTCAATGTGGCCAAATACTTCGTAGTAAAACAAAGTGGAAGCTAATGCGACAACGGGGCTCAAATCTTTGCGTGATAGTGTGGTAGTAGTATAATTAATTGCGCGTGCGACTTATTTCTGTGACCAAAGTTAAAGAAAAAGAAGTATCCGACTTATGAACAAGCTTTGAGAAAATTAATCGGGTTATAGTTTCAAGATATTTAGCGCTTTAGTATTAAGCCGTGTCTTCAGTGCGTATTTTGCCTTACACAATCAACAAAAACATATAACATTCAACAAAATCGTCTAGACAAAACTTTGTTAAACTACACATGTTTGTTTGCATTAAAAAGTTTTTGTTTCATGAGCTCGATGGAAAACACGTGCATAAATCACACTGTCTCATCGGCTATTTTTTTGTCAAGTCGCTAACATTTCACTCCGACGTTTCAATTTTGATATTAAATGTATAAGTTTTTTCAAATTTGACATTTTTGCACTTGGATGAGTAGATTTGGAACGCAGCCCTGTGTATTTTGTGAACGACGGTCACGTGAGCTGTAAACGCCGCGTGTAGAGAAACATGTTTCAGAAACAAAGTTTTGTGTATGTGTTTTTGTTGAACGTTTTCAAAATCTTTTGCTGACGATTCGGCTTTACTGTGACAGCGTCTCCGATTATAATCAATTGATTCGACATTAAAAGTAGGTGCTTTCGAATACGCTGCATGAAAAATTTATATTTTACTAGCGGCCCGCCCTCGCTTCGCTTCGGTGTAGAGCTGAAGTATAGACTACAGTTTTTGTTCTGAGGCTTGTATTATACACAATGACATTCATCTATGATTCTTCTTATACCTGCATGCAAAGTCTCAGCCCGATCGGTTTAAAATTGACAAAGTTTCATACAAACTTTCATTCCCTATGTTATCCCCTTGGGGGTAGAATTGATCAAAATCCTTTCTTAGCGGATGCCTACGTCATAAGATCTACCTGCATGCCAAATTTCAGCCCGATCCGCCCAGTGGTTTGGGCTTTGCGTTGATAGATCACTATGTCAGTCAGTCACCTTTGAGTTTTATATATATAGATATAAGATTTTTACTAAATAGTTAGTTATGGACGTGAAGATGATGATGAAGGGCTAGTACTAAAATATTTTCTTCAGAAATCATTTGATGAATACCTATTGGAGGATTTGTAAAACTAACCTTTATCTTTTATTCCCAATTATGTTATCTGGTAACAACCAACATTCCATTATAGTCGTTTTTATAAATATGTCTTACCCAAAACTAATACAAGACCGCTCGATAGGTTCCTCATCACAGTAAGTAAACACTCAATCATGATTCTCAGAACTCGCAGTTCTAATTTGAGCGGAACTAATCTTATACCTCTCCCACACCAGTGCGACGAAGCAGACGCATTTTAGCGCATTTAGTACAAAAGTGACCAAAGTCGCTTTTGTAGTAAATGCGCTAAAATTTGCATTAGAATTTTTAATTAGTTCTATCGTAATGAATTATCGGGCTACGTGTCTATAAACGCTAGACGAAAGCTTGACTGACGAATTTTGACACGCACAAAAGAGGTTCTGGGAGACGATAATATGTACGTACAGCTAAAGGTACAAGTCCGAACTGAACCGCAGACCACAGGCTGCAGCTGCAGACTGCAGGCGACACTACTAGTTTCTATGAATGTCTATGAAATTGATTCCGAGCGCGGCGACATGCCGCGGCTGCACAATGCATGTAATGCACGGTCATCCGCAGGCTAGTGTTGCCGAAGTATCGATAGAATCGATACAACCGATAGTATCGAAACTATCGATAGCTAAAAACAAGGCAATACTATCGAATGAGTGCAATACTATAGATACTATCGATACTATTGTAGTTCATTAATAACAAACTATTGATAGTATCGATACTATCGATACTGTTGATTTTATCTGCAACAATACTATCGATAGTATTGATACTCGCGATTGTTTTAGACTAAAGTTTGTTATTGACTATAATACCTGAAAATTGTAAACAATACTATTGCAAATTGTTAAACTATCGATAGTATATTTGCAAATAAAATCGACCGTATCGATACTATCGATAGATTGTTATTAACGAACTACAGTGCTATCGATAGTATCGATAGTATTTAACTCATCCGATAGTATTGGCTTTTTCTGTTCTATCGATAATATTGATACTATTGATAGTATCGATACTATCGATAAGCCGATCGATTGTCATACTATTGATAGTATCGATACTATCGATAAGCCGATCGATTGTCATACGATTGGTTGGCTATCGATAGACTATCGATTAATCATCGATCGTCGACTATCGATTGGCAACACTACCGCAGGCGCTAGCCGCAGTTTCGCCTGCGGTTGTCGTTTGCAGCCCATTGCGGAATTGTACCTTAAAGGAGCATACTTACGATTTATAATTATTCAAATTTCGAACGCAAATTTCAGCACATTTTAGTACCAAAGCTTCGTCACGCAGGTGTGGGTGTGCACATTAGAAGCAATCTAAGTGTATGTATAAGATTAGTTGTAATTATTTATAAAGTGAGAGCGTTTACCTCAAACTTGGGTAGTCGCAGCTGCTCCAAGGTCAAGACCGTCGCAAAGCTGATAAATCAATGACAGGAAGTCCACGCTTCGGATGAATAATATTGTCAGGCTATCCATGGCTTGGGGCCAATGCACAATGACACAAAGCAGTATTAAACTCTTGTGTCAGTGATATCTACGTGATACCCAGTGTGACCAGATTAAATTTTACGAAAATACCGAGACACCTCAAAAAATTACTGAAATATACCGACTTACATAGGACAGATATACCAATAAAAATACTGATTTTCTTAACACATTTTATTTATTCATACGTACTCACAATAAATGTTAGAGTTATATTTTAACATCCTTTTCGAAGGATTAAAATTGACACAACCTCCTTCATTTCTTCACGCTCTATCTAATAGTGCAAACCCCATTAAAATCGGTCCAGCAGTTGTAAAGTTTTAGGCGAACATACATTCTGCAAGTCTGATTAATACTATGTATTGATTGATAATTGTATAAAATATGTAGTATTACAATACTACAACGCCGACAACGGCCGTCTTTCTTGTCATATCTGTAAGGCCGTATACAGAAAGAAAGCCGAAAGCCGATCGGCGCTTATCGGCGCCGATCCTTACTACATAAAGGAAGCCGATTAAAGCAGATCAAGCAAAATGTCGGACTCATCGGACGATGATTTGGTTTTGTTAGAAAATGTGTATTTAAAAATGCGAAAAAAGCTATACATCCTATAAATAGAGAAAGGAAACGTTTCTAAGAATACCATCATTTATTTGTAAAAAAAATTAAATTTGATGATCAAAGATTTTATACATATACAAGAATGACTCAAGAAACATTTTATTACATTTTGGATTTAGTGAAAAACCGTTTGATGAAAAATTGGTGCAATTGGCATAAACAACCAATCCTTCCAGAAGAAAGACTTGTTGTCACCATTGGGTAAGTATGAAACAAATAATTTTAATAAAAGATAAAGTTATTAGATTTATAAAAAGATTATAACTTAGATTGATTTAATGTGAGGATAATAATTCAAATACAAATTATTTATTATTCGGACAACATAGATCATAATGACCAGCTGACCAGCGCTGATCGGCGCCGATCGGCTTTCAGCTTTCTTTCTGTATACGGCCTAACTTACTCATAGATAACATGTTATTATGATTTAGTTTACCTATACTTATACATGTATAAGTATAGGTAAACTAAATCCGGGGCAGTCCCCAATGTTCGCGTTCCGGGGAATTCCGCAAACATTGTCGCAAAGACGATCACTCACTACGGTGTTGCCGTAACTTTTACCAAAATATACCCAAAAATAC